CACACACACACACACACACACACACACACACACACACACAAATATTTTGGGATGCTTCAGCATGGCTCCCTTCCAGTCTCCATACCAGGTTTTAGCTGATTACCAGAAACAGGGGTCTCCACTGGGTGGAGATGTTTTTTCCAGGAAAAAACAAGGAAAACAAGACAAGAAAAGGCCGTCACGGATGTCTTTTTGGTACTAGAAACTAGATGAACTCTGCACACCTGAACATTTCTCTTACGTGAATATCTGCGGCCTCGACCCCTTTCATGTAACACATGTGATATCTTGATAAAAGTTGTGAATGAACAGAATTTCACTACTGCCTTTTAATCACTGCCCAAGGGGGAATGTAAGACTGTGTCAGCAGAGGAGAGACTCAGCAGTGTTGTAAGATCGGGTGGGTTTCCGCCCAGTTAAGCGGTTCTAAAGATTTATCGTGCGGGTTAAAATTACGATACAACAACAATCCGGGTGTTTGGGATCATTTTGGCGGTTATTTCTTGCATGTAAATTTCATGGGTTAATTCGAAACAAGTACCATGAGTACAAACACACACACGCGCTCACACACGCACGGCGGTGCAGTGGGACCTACCTACAGTTAAGGTGCTCACGGTGAATAAAGCGCACGGACTCCTATACGTAGTGTACGTATGCAGTGAGTGCAGCACTGATGTGCACGGGTTGCTGTTTGGGTTGCTTTCAAGTGATAGGCGGGACTGTGGTCCAGACCTCTGGCAATAATCTCTCTCTCTCTCTCTCTCTCTCTCTCTCTCTCTCTCTCTCTCTCTCTCACACACACACACACACACACGCACGCACGCACACATTTGTATGTCTCCGTATGTGTGAGTATGTGTGTCTGCAGTGCCTGTGTTCATTCCTCTTCGACGCTAAGCAGCACAGTGGAGCGTAAACTCGGCTATAGAATCTTTATATTTTGAAGAGTTTTGAATAACTTTTGGGCTGAAAACCATCTGCAATATCTGGCAACACTAGATCCAGATGTTTCACGTTTCCCCTGAGCGCTTTTTGGAGATGTCTGCTTGACGAGGAGCAGTGACACACTGAACGTTAAACTCAACGATCCATGGCTAAAAGGACGATAAATGCTGTTATATTTGTGTAAAGTATTTTGATTTGGAGCTCTTTTTTTCTTTTGGCTGAGGAGAATGGAGAGGAAACTCAGAGCGGTTGTGCTGCTGGAGATACATTTGCTCTTCGTGTTCTTCTTGCACGGACAGTCTAGTGCAGATAACGAGAATGGTAAGTTAACACACAGGGTCACGGGGGTCATGGATTGTTTATTTTACCGTTTTGGTCGAACTTTCTTAAATTATAACTTTAAGTGTGAATTAATCTGTTCACAGTCAGTGGAGCTATAAATGGTATGTGGGGAGTTGTTTTTTGTTTTAGTAAACCCTGGTATTTAAATACTTAAGCTTGATATAATGTCTTTTTAAAAAATCACAATACAAAAGCTGACATGTAATTAATGATTTTTAATGTTCATTCTTGCCCAGTCCCACGTTTGTTTATATTGAGTGTTCATTTTCAAAGAAACTATAGTTTTAGTTTTTAAAAAGTTCAAAATCTGACATTTGGAAAGGACAATTTGCCTCTAGCAGTGATTGCTTTTCACCTTGTATGCATGTCCATCTACTTCACAATACTTCAACATAATATAAATACATCTACGAACAACAAAACAAGCTTTTATTGTCATGTTCCATTTCTATCTGGTCCTGAAGCACCAGATATCAGATTTAAAGAGAGTCATAAGTTGAAATTGCAGACAGATGAGATAAGGGTGATCTTGGTTTCAGGTCACTGAGGTCACTGACCAGTAGATCTCTCACACAAAGCTTAACAATCATCATAACCCAGAAATCACAGTACTCTACTCCAGAACTCATGTCATATGGATGTGAATGTGACAGTGTCTCTTATTTCTTTTATAGTAATTGATCTTGTGGAAGCACTAAACCTACCTCACCGAAAAAGTGCGAGCAGCGGCATGATCTACAAACTACGTAACAGAGCACCCCACCTGACACTTCCCGCTGAATATTCTCACTTCCTGTACTCCAACCTTCAGGGTAGCATGGGTGTTCATGTGGTGGGGCGCCAGGCGCCTCGATCCACTGCCACCATCTTTTCTCTTTCGTCTGCATCTTCGCCTATTCTCCAGATCATCTCCTCCACTGTCAATAACACCCTGCGTGTGGACTACCAGGTTGAAGGAAGAGCGCACGACTTTGCCAGCATTAACCTTCTGGACACAAACCCTTTTGCAAGTGAAAAGTGGGGTCATCTGGCTGTGAGCCTGGAGCCTGACAGACTGGCATTTTTTGTGGACTGTCAAGAAACTGCAGTTTTTCCAATAGAAAATGAGAACAGGATCAACCTAGAACTGCCTCAAGATGTTCTCATCACTCTTGGCAGCACATTAGGAAAGAGAAGCAGTAAATTTAGTGTGAGTTTCCTTTGCTTACTGCATATTTGCTTCCACACAGAGAGACATCATCTGAACTTCTTCATTTACAGTACTGTGTTAGTATTTTGCACAACACTAGGTATTGTCCTATAAACCTTGTAATCACAGAAGACTGCCTTTTGCTGAAAATACTACCAGGAAATATAGTCAGCTTAGATTTATCGTGTGCATAATTACAAATAAAACATCAGATAGTATATCCAAGTATATGCAGTATATCCATAATCAATGCCATTATTCTACATAACAGATACATTATATATTTTATGTACTGACTGTATTTTTTCAAATGCAGGGATATTTGAAGGCAGCAGAAATTTCACTGAAAGCATATCCAAGGCGCCCATGGAGCTGCAATCTTACAGGTAAGAGCAGATTCCATCTCTCCGTCCGTCACAGTTTTTATAGGAAGGTGGGGTTACATCCTGGAACGGTCACCTGTCGATTGCAGACATAATGTATAGAAACAGACAGCCATTCACATTCACAATCACGCCGATCACCAATTACCCAGTAGCCCTAAGAAATATGTGAATATATGAAGCCAGAGTATGTCAAACAGAGTACTCACACAGGTAGTGGTGCAGTGAGGCCTACCAAGGTTTTTAGCAGATGATTTGATGTTCCTGGCGATGGGGTCTATGTACTGACTAACTTCCTATTATTGCAAAGTGGAAGCAGCTAAGAACCACAGCAACTCAGAGGGTTGCAGACCAGATAAAGTTAAAGAGCGAGGTCGGCAAGTGCTCAGGAGCATGATGTGTCAAAGTCACCAACTCTCTGCAGAGTTTCAAACCTCTTCTGAGCGGAAACACTGTGGACCCAGAGTTTCATGGCATATGTTTGCATGGCTGAGCACCGCCTGTAAGCTTAATGTGTAGGTGGCCCAGTACTTTTGACCATATAGTGTATGATGATATCATTCTGCCATTTGGTCAGAACTTATAATGTGTCAAAAATGTAGTATATTTCACTTCTGAGGAGTTCCACCATTTGACTGATTCTTATTTTAGATCATCTATTTCCTCCAGATGCACATGACCCAGATTCCCAGACTGACTCCAGCAAACCTCACAATGATTTACCCAGTAAACTTCAAACAAACCACAGATCACAGGACCAAACCAGCTATCATCCTCAGGAGATCCAGAGTGATCAGATGCAGGGAGCTGAGCCTCCTCGAGGTGATAATTCTGCTTCTCAGGAACAGAAAGATGAGAGACTGAGGAAGCTGGAGAGACAGATGACAAAGCTGACTGATGAGTTGGGCATCATAAGAGAGCAGGTAAAGATCACACTTAGTGTATGAGTTTTCACGAAAAATGATATAATGAAACATAATTGCAGGGTACACTGAGATTTTTTTGTTTGTGTGTTTGTTTTATAACAGAACAAAAACCTACAAAATCGTGTAAAATTCCTGGAGTTATGTCTGAAGGACCATTGCAGAGAAGGTGACTAAGCTTCTGTCTGTTTGTGAGATCTGTCACGGGTGTTTTATGTTATTGTTTTGTTTTTTCAAATTTTAAATTCGTTGTATTCATGAAGATATGGAGAAAATGTAAATATGTCTTTGTGTCTCCTGTCAGCAACAATATTGCACATAATTAGTAGCTCTTTACTGATGGCTATCACGGCTTTTGTTTTTCCTGGGGGACACAAACAGAACAGGCAGGTATTTTTGACCCACACTGAAGTCAACTAGACTAGCTTCATAAAATGTTTATGAAGAACACTGCCTGGTGGCGCCAGTGTCCGGCAGCCTCGCCTCTGTCAGTGCGCCCCAGGGTGGCTGTGGCTACAATGTAGCTTGCCATCACCAGAGTGTGTGGATGACTGGTTGTGTAAAGCGCTTTGGGGTCCTTAGGCACTAGTAAAAGCGCTAAAAAGTATTGTAAATGGTAAATGGCCTGTATTTGTATATAGCTCTGATCTTTTCTTTAAGGTTAAATAAGGTCAAGCTTTCATAAAATGGCTTGTATCTTTTAAACTATGTTTAAAATTCTACTGCATTTGTTTGTATTGGCAACATTTGGGAAATGATCATTTGCATCCAAATATGTCTTACTTGACTATTTCCTTATGTTGAATTACATGGCAGAGCTTCAGAACGGCTTGAGGTTGGTCACAATTGCTAATGAAGGCAAGCTTAGAAGCCACCTTCTGTCAGGTTTTGTATTACTATAGCTTTCTTTTAGTTTCTAATAGTGTATGAAGTATTCTCTTTCATTGTCATCGGCTTTTGATTTGTTATTTACAGAATGCAAACCTTTAGTCTCATATATGGTAGTCAGTGGATTTTATCACCCTTTCCTGTTCAAGGTTATGTATCTTATTGTGTTTTATATTTTCTGTCTGTATCTACATAGTAAACCAAAATTTTGGATTTGCGTCAAAACTACTTCTTAGTTCAATTTTTAGACAGAATTTCTAGGCATAGCCAGATAGCAGGAGGGTTCCACTTTGGTGGCCTCAGAATCTCATCTCTGCTATTTGCAGATGATGTGGTTCTGTTGGCTTCATCGGGTGATGTCCTCCAGCATGCTGGAGCAGTTCACAGTCAAATGTAAAGCGGCAGGAATGAAAATCAGCACCTGAGGCCATGGTTTTCAGCCAGCAAAAAGTAGAATGCCCATCCCGGGCCGGGGACGAGTTGCTGCCCCTACTCTGTGAAGTCTTCCTCCTCTCCCCTGGGAACAGCACTAATTTCCTCTCATTTAGTCTCTGTTGGAAATAGTGCATGTTGGGAGGATGCTGTATCAGCAAACAAAGGCAAGGGTTCCATTACATGTGTAAACATTTAAAATCAAGGCATCTCTTATGTGAGCAGAAGAAAATGACAAGTTCAGCAAATTATAAAAAAACAGCATATGTGTTTTCACCTCTGTACTCCTCAATTCCATATAATGCGTCACTTGTAGTGACAACATAGAAATGATCGCTGCAGTACCTCTTAGATTCATTAGATTCATTCTCATTCTCTACTTTTTTTT